AAACATGACAAACCTTTAATGATCTCATCTAAAGGCCGGAACTCATTGAGGGTATATATTCCTATCGATGCGTTTTTGTTAAATTTTATATGCTTTGAGCTTGCAAGGTGTTATAAACTGAGTGAGAAGTATTGCAGACCGAGTATTACAATCTGTTCCTAGTCATCACTTGCACCTTTAAGAGAAACAAAATGTAAGTAACTGTTTTATTTTTATTTTATTTTATTATTATTTTTTTAATCTCAGAAGAAAATAAAACTTAAGGCAGCTGTGAATTTAAGAGTCAATGTCAGTAAGAATCGGAGATAATTTCAAAATCGCGGACACAGCTCAAAATTCGTTTTCGCTGATAATTTTTACATTGATTGAGTCAGTTGTATCGTAGTTAGCAAAAGAGGGTTAGTTTGGTCTAATTTTTGCGTTTATTAGGAGAATTAAATAAAATCGCTTGGGTCCGTTTTGAACCAAAATGACCTCTTTGATGAACCGAGATTTCACTATATTCGTGACTCTCTCAAGTTAGCGGGATAAAGCCTTTAACTGATTTCTTACCTTGAAGAAATAGCTTGCCCCTTGGTAAATTAAATATTGTTTATATTGACAGATCATTTACTTTATAAGACCCGTGGAGAGTTTTTCGTTGAACGCACTTCGTTGCCTTTTCTGAATGGCTCCGAAGTGACATAAAAGACCTGCCTAAAAATCCGGCCGGTACGCTAAAATAAATCTTCAGAATAAGCTTTCTCTACAGCTTAAGATAGATGCTTTATGTCTTCTTTTCATTTCTTTGGGATCTTTTTAAGTTTTTTGATACGACCTCCCCGAAGTTTGCTAATTGGCGGATTTTTAGATGACCGCCATATTGATACTGTGAGAAAGTACCGTACAAAGAGACGTATTACTTTTGGTTAAAATGAGTCTAAAATTATAAGTGCAAGTGAGATTTAGTTTGGTAATAAACAAAAGTCACTGCCTCTATGTTATTTTTAAAGTTAACGGCAATTTGGCAATGGTTTTATACAGGGCTATGATTCCATGCATGATATCGTGACATTGGTTTCCTACACGTCGCGCACCGACCTTTGACACCGTCATAAGACTTCATGTATTAAACGTCGAATAACGGGTGAGCGAGTTCCCCATTGATATCTTCAGCTTTATATTCCGTTTCCTTTGGGTTTCACAATGTGGACGAAAGGAAATCACGAAATCTTTAATTTCACTGCAAGAAGCCATTATGCAAATACAGAACACCTGCGTAAATAGTATATCCTTCTTCAAGATTGTCAACACGGGATTTTAAAAACAGAATTAAGAAATCAGAATATCAGATAAAGGTTCTGTCAAAAGATGCCTTCAAAACTGAGAAAAGTTAGATTTTGGACTGGCATAAGGTCGCTTAAAATGGGGATTGGATTGAATTAACTGGCATCAACAAGAAGCATGAAAAATATTTACGTATATACACACATGTTTACATTTGCAGATGAGCCTCCGGATGAGCCTCCGGATATTTGAATTACTTTTGGCGCAATTTACAAGTCAACCAGTTTTCACGGCAAGAAATTTAACTTTAACCTCATTTACCAATACTTTTACGAAACGGCAAATCTTAGAAAGTTCGGTATTCTACATCTGTTTTCCCACTTCTGAATACATCCCGCAAATTCCTAATTTTCGTTGTGAGAATTCAAGGAGTTTACTTTCCGTTTTCCTGCGCTTTACTGGGATGACTCGGATCACTCCTTGTTTCCTCGTCAAATAGTCGTTGTGTTGCATAAAGGACGGGCTGACCCACTAGCTGAGATCTCGTTTCGAGCCAATGGGATCTCGTCAGTCTGGCTTCTCATACAAACACGACGAAAATTTTAAAGGCATGAGCCGAGCCAGCACGATAAAGAGAGCAAGCGGGTCAGAAACTTTTGCCGTTGGATACCTAGACTCAAACTTATTTTGTTGTTGTCGAAGGTTCCATTTGGAAACAATCAAATGTTACAAGCGCAAGGTTGACAAGAATTCCCCTTTAATCAAAGGATGCCTGACGAAGTAGAGGATATCCGGTTTGCAGTGATGACCACAGAATTTTGTTTTATATCTATAATCAACACCTTTACGGTTGTCGCTTTTGCAAGAAGTCGCCGTCTACGCAAGCGCAGTACATACCTGGTAATAAACCAAACTGTGGCTGATTTGCTGGTTGGAGCTGTGGCGGGACCTGTGTACCAAAATGGTCTACCAGGACCGCAACATGGTCTCAGTTGGAGAAACTGTTGGAGGGCGATCATTGACAGCTTTTATATAGTTTCAGTAGGCAATCTAGCATTAATTTCTTTAGAGCGACTGCACGCCACACTTTATCCATTTAACCACTGCTTGGTCGGGAAACGTGTTTACTGTAAGATTATCTTTTGCAGTTGGTTTGGGTCCTTCATTTTAGCGTCTGTATTTGTCATTCTTGAAATAAATGAACCGGTTGCTTGTCGAGGTGCATGGGTAAGCTATACTTTCGTTACCCTTTCACTTCTTACAGCAGCATATTTTATCATTTTATCAAAGGTTTTAAGCAAGCCTTATGCCCAGCGGTTTAGCTCAGTTATTCTAGTTGAGAGGAAACTTTCCATAACATTATCAATAGTCACCGCAGCCTCTATAGCTACTCTTCTTCCATGGGCAATAACAAGTTGTGTTTCTCTACGTTTAGGTTACTTGAGGATTCAATTATTACCATTCATAAATGTTGCAACCCTTATACTTGCGATTTATTACCTAAACTCGATCTTGAATCCAGTGATTTATGCCATTAGATTGCGACAGTTCAGGAGGGCTTTGAAAGGGCTTTTCTGCAAAAATACTTCATCTACAGGACGGGCCCTACCCATTGACCTTCTAGAAATGTAGTGAGCGGTAAACACCACTAAAAAAGAGACCCAAGGGTTAGGGGCCTCTTTGAAGCCATGTTTCGAAATGAATTTCCACGGAATTGTTACATGTAAATGGGTCTTAGCTTGCAAACCAGTCTACGTTGTCCCGTTCATTGATAATTTTACTTCTTGCTGTTTTAGCTACAATATGTTTTCTTAGAATTTAGGGATTAATCAGATCATAACTGTAAAAAAAAAAAAATTATTATAATGATAAAATCTCAAATCTGATTGGACACTATGCGCCATCGAGGGCGCTCACTTGAGTGGAGTATTCTGTGTTCTAATTTAAGAAAAGCTTGAAATGTCCCAAAGTTTCGTTATAGTTATGATTAATTGGTAACAGAAAGCTTCATGTCGTCTAATTTGGTCTGTAATAACGCTGGTGATGGGACTCTCTCTATGTAGTCGTCCGCTGATTTTGTTAATTGATCACTCGTACAATTACAGACTGAGTTGGACTCCACTCAGTCCTATTACCATTATTTATAGGAAAAGTAAGATTAAAGTCGACAACTGAAACAAACGGTCCTAAATAATTCGAATGAATGGAACTGGCAAAAGCTACTAATTTCGTGTAGATATAGTGAACGGTAGATGCCATTGAAGGTAAAGCTTAGTCCTCTTGGGCAAATTGAGGTTATTCATTTACCTTAAAGGTGATTCTAAATCTGTATCTCGGTATCACGATCTTGAAACAGCTCTCCAGCAAGGAAGAGAGAATAAGAGAGAAAGATAACAAACACTTTAATTTACAAAGCTTTAATTCAAAAAACAACTTGCATTTGTTGCAAGGATGCAAACTTAAGAGTCTATTTGCTGCCCGTGCGAGTATAGATTGATTGTGGTAAGGGCGCCAATTAAGACTAATAATTTGTCAATAAAGTCGAAGTTACACACTTATCTAGCGAAATAAAAGCTGTATATGAAGAATTCCTGTAAAAACTACAAAATAGCAATGGATCACTTGAGAATGTTGGACGTTTTCTCCTGCTCTCCTTTCCTGACGGACACTTCTGTAAATGGACACAGTCAGGGGGATCGGCATTTCTCTTAACATATCCATAATGGCGATTATTATCAGACCTTTCCTTTAAAATATCTTAACATTGCCAAGGAAAGAAATGATAATATTTAATTTTTTATGGACTTACAGCTATGCAATCAATAGAAACATTAAGGACAAAGAAAAAAGTGACTACCTCCTCACATTTTCAATAAAAAACTAGGGCCCATTCCTTAAATGACTTGAGATTTCACGGGAATGACAAGTTCTGAGATGTCTGCCAAAACTGCCCTTCATGCCACCTTGCACTTAGACCCGAAATTACCATCTTTCAACGCCCACTTCTATGACACTCTACTGGTACAGCTTCAAGAGTGAATGAAATTTCTTGCCAGTGTACGTCGTTGACGCTTTTTATTTGTTTGTTTATTTGTTTATTCATTATTTTTTACCCTCACTTGATGCAAAGCACAATGCCTTTGGACTACTCTTGGTAAAATATGCAAGATCTTAACTAAGAAAACTGACCTTTGAATTTTAATAAGGGATCCTGTAAGTCCAAAGCAGAACTTCCTATGCAAATCGATAGTGCTAAACGAATATAAAAAAAATGGTCGTTTTCTCGCCATTAATCTTACACTATTAGGGAATGAATCGACATTCTTCGAGTGTAAATACCAAGGGCAGATTTAGGGGTGGGCCAAGGGGGCCCCGGCCCCCGCTTTTGTGGTTTATTAAATATTTCAGCATTACATGTTCAATAAGGATTCCAGACATTTGCTGGATTTAAGCCTCCAGAATGCACTGGATTGCATCTTAGAGAACTTCAATCACAAATATTTTCCCGGAGGAGCATGCGCCCGAAACTCCCTAGAAAAGTGCGCCGTTCGCAGTCCTGATGGGTGCTATCACGCCCATATTGCCACTGTATAATATATCTCTAGGCCCCCTAGCTCTATCACAAAATCCTCCGTCCGTCTCTGAATACAAAGTGATCAACAGTACAGAGTTGCTGCCCTTTTAGAAGAAAAACTGAAAATCATTGGCGAAATACCCTTACAATTATTTGAAATTCAATTAGTTTCATCGAGTTTAACCAGAAGTCCATACAGAATGATGGATCCACGTTGCTTGGTAGACCACTCAATCTCCTGGTTGCTAAACTTAGGATCAATCTCAGAGGTAGCAGCAATCGTCTGTGGTCCAACCTGATAGCTATCAGGGTTGATACACAGTTGAAGAACGGTTTTGGTGTTCAACTTCTTTTTCGTCAGAGGGTCCTCAAAACTGCAGAATTACAAGAACAATACAAAAAGCATGTTACTACATCAAGGGACGTGGTATATTTGATTTGAGTCATACTCGTCTCCAAATTGTTCTTATAGTGTATTAGTTTGAAATCAAGACCGGTTGCTACTTTAATTAATGATCAAGATTTAACGATTCTACTTCCAAGGGTTAAGAAATGTTGGGGGTCTTCTTCTTGGGATATCCTTTGCAAAACGGGTATTATAGAAAGGAATGTTTCCCAGTTAAATTGTGACAAACCTAAGCTAGTATACTCCTACTTCAAGGATTGGCGTAGCAGTGGCGCATTAAGGTTCAGATTTAGCAATGGGTTTAGTAACCAAAACAACAATTTTGCACGTGCATCACGCTTTTTTGTACATTTCTCTGCCGTCACTGCACGACTACGACGTGAAAATGCCCAACTTCACGTTGTACAAAGGAAGTAAACAAGCGACGACGAAATTTCTCTCTCTCTTTCCGAACTTGGATATGGTTCTTTGGAATTCAAATTTAGTAGGATTTACCTACATTTGACAATTAAAGGTCAGTGACTTGGGGTCATCGAAATGAAGATTGAAAGAACGCGAATTTTCTTTTTCAGCGACGCTTTCGCTTTCGTCGCCTTCCTCGGGTATTCCCTAATAAAAGCAAGAGCACATTACTCAGGAAAATTCAATCCCGTTACCATATATAACACAGATGTAAAACCTTGGCCACGTTTACGGCACTGGAAGAATTTTTAACAGGTTGAAAATTTGAACTTTTAAGGAGTTTCGTTCACACGAAACCACCTTAACTGTTCAGAGATTTAGATGCATGGCCGTTCAAAAATTTGAACGTTAAACTCGAGGTCAAATTTTATACGGTACGGTCCAAAATTTGACAGGCGAGGAGTGACCACCAGAAGGCCGTGGGCCGCACTACGCAAAATTTTGTTTCTTATGCCAAAACAAAAACTGTCAAAAGGAAGCAATTTCTACTGCGACGAGTTCCTTCGTCGGCTCATCTTATTTTGCGAAAATCATCAATTAAAGTTCCTTTAAATGACGTTTCTAATTATATGAAAAATATCGCTTGACTTAAAATTTTTAAATTTTTCGGAGCGAAAATAATGAGCGGTTCCGTGCGAAAGAGGTGTGGCGGTAAATTCTTCAGCCAAAAATTCGTCCAGTTGCCTTGTGAACGTAGGCTAAGGAAGGTACATGAAGCGTTTCAAGTTGCCTTTTGGGTTTCGCGTAGCAGTTGTGTCCTGAGTATCGAACACTCGGTGATACAAAGATCTGCTTTGTGTCAAACCCTGAGGGTTTTCTGTTGTCGTTGAAATGTCCCTCCTCCTCGCTTAGTTTTCTTCCCCCAAGAGCTACATCACCTGCACAGTACAAGAAAAAACGCAATCAAAAGACGGATCATTATTAACAGCTGTGAATAGAGGGGAGAAGTGTGACGTCACGTTACCATGGTAGCACTATTTTTGGATGACAACAAAAACCAACGACGACGGCGACGGCAAGGAGAACGGCAAAAAATAATATGTTTATATTAACAAACAACAACTTTGCATTTTTCCATTTCTTTGCCTTCGTTGCACCTGACTACGACATGAAATTTTCTAATTTCACGAGCCCGCTTTATGGAGTAGGTGAATACAACACAAAAAATTGTCGCTTTCGTTTTCTAAACTTAGATAGCGATAGATACGGTCCAAAATAAGGTTCCGCAAAGATTTGCCAAATTAAATGAAGTTGAATAAGATCGGTGAAGTTTGAAGTACTGCGAATAGACTGAGTGCGAAAAGAGTGACTTTATCGGTTTGTTGTCATCCAGACATTTTGCTACCATGGCAACGTGACTTAACAACTTCTCCTCTCTATAGAACCCTATATAAAAAAACAGCCTAGAATT